AACTTTCAATTATTCTCATTTCTTCTAAAGTCAGGGTACGAACGATGCCCGGGTTTGATAAGCGTTTTAACCACGTGAACCTATACTGCAGTGAGTGAGCAAACACCCTCGACTGATCTACCTCTACGATTGCATGTAAAAACTTTCATACATGGGTCAGTAGCTCGGTAGGGATACGCCCCTAAGGGTAGTGACAACCATTTAGGGAAGGTAAGTTAAACCTCAGGAGAACCTGTCCTGTCGCAAGAGACCGCGAGAAGTACGGTTAGCGCACCTGTTCAGGCGGTTCACGGAATATTTGTTAGTCTTTAGTAGTTTTTGCTAAAACTCATGTGCGACGTAGCCTGGAGACCTTCAGCTGAAAAGCGGGAGCCGATGCCCTCGATACCAGCACCTTACCTTTATCCTAACAGTAGGGGTTGTCCTCTTACTCGACACTTATATGACAACCTTGTACTTTAACTACATCCTAATAGCAGGGGTTGTCCTTCCACTTGAGGATTTCGCGGTAACCGACTAACTATACCCTTATTACCCTTATTAGGGATTGGCCTTTCACTTAGGGTTTCCGCGAAAATCTCTCACCTTGGCCTTAACCTTACTGGGGGTTGCTCTTCTGCTTGGAGGTTTCCACGACAACCCAGTACCTATACCTTAACCTTATCAGGGGTTTGTCTTCAACCTAGAGGCTTCCGTAGTAACCCAATACCTATACCTTAGCCTTGTAAGGGGTTGTAGGCTTCCACGACAACCCAATACCTGTACCTTAACCTTATCAAGAGTTGTCTTTGTACTTAGAACCTTCTANCTACCTTAGCCTTGTAAGGGGTTGTAGGCTTCCACGACAACCCAATACCTGTACCTTAACCTTATCAAGAGTTGTCTTTGTACTTAGAACCTTCTGCTATCGAGCGTTCTAGCTTCATCTTTTTCACAAGTAGCCTACCCGACCTCGTCACGCAGAAGTTATAGTTGTTAATAACGAATACCTATACTTTCTTATGTTTTTCATTTGCTTACTTGAGACTTCCACGATAACCCAATAACTATACCCTTACCATTATCAGGGGTTGTTTTTCCACTTAGGGTTTCAGTGGCAATCTCGCACTTTCGCCTTAACCTTATCAATGGTTGCTCTTTTACTCGAAGGCTTCCTCGACAACCCAATACCTATACCTTAACCTTAGCAGGGGTTGCCCTTCCGCTAAGAGGGTTACGCGGTTGCCCCTCCACTTGTAGACTTTCTTGACAACCCAATACTTATACCTTAGCCTTTTCAAAGTCGTCCTCATACTCAGAAGTTTTTACTATTGAGCGTAATAGCTTCGTGTTTTTTGCAAGGAGCCCTCCCGACCTCGTCACGTAGGAGTTATAGTAGTTGATCGTTGGTAGGTTATGTTTTTCATTTATTTATTTTTAGTTTTTATTTTTTTAGGAAAGGACGATGACCATATCATCATTGAACTGGGTGGTCTTGCATATTTAACAGTTGTGATATTGTGCTCATTTCCTTCTGTGCAGTTCGAACTTGGATCCGTACTTCAACACTTCAGGAACCAAGCAGACGCACTTGAATTCTCGGTTCCTTGCCAATTGCGAAGATCAACAGTCATAAATCCGTATTCCAAACCAGTAGGATTTGGCCGAAGGTTTACTGACTAAGTTTCCCCGGTTAATGCGTGTTTTTTTCCTATGTTTACTTCCCCCCCTCATGGTTTTCGTCACGTTTGCAATGAACATCCACTTATTAGAATCATAGAAATATAAGTTTGTAATACAACAATGACTAACTTTTTCTTATAGCTCAGTTAATGCTAAAATAATGAGAAAAGGTGCAAGATGAGTTATATCGTGATCTGGAATTTAAAGACAAAATTCTTATCTGAAGTAATCCATTTAAACATTGACGTCCAATCACTTTGATAAAAATTGCAGGATCTACTACCTTGTCCATCAAATACAACAAAGCAAATGATGGTATTGTGAAAGCAAGAAGCAAAGATTCTCATGCATCCATACGACTTTGTTTTGAAAAATAAAGTATTAAAAGTTGTGAAGTTGGCTGCATACCATATCGAGGAGTTGAAGTAGCGCAAATCTTCAAGCAATCACAGATCATGAAGTGCGCGAAGACCAATGTCAAACTTTCATGAATCCATGCACGAAAGACGAGATATTAAACCTTGTACTCGATTAATTATATTTTATAGTACAAAAAAAAAAAAAAAAAATCGTCTTGGGGCATGATCTCTCTCTCTCTCTCTCTCTCTCTCTGTGAGAAAAAATTCCCTGCGTATGAGCGCAGCTAACCGTCAACATGGCCAGGTCCAATCGAAGTCAGAGAAATTAAACCGCTAATGATGAGGCTGAAAATTTCATTCTCATTTCTTTTTTTTGGTGTGGAGTCGAGCGAGGTCAGTAGTCGAGTAAAAAAAAAGAAGAACATATACTCGTTATCGCGGTGTATTTTCTCATATTCTTGTTGAACATGCGGTGAGTAGCGGAGCAAGACCCTCACATTACCGAATATATATATATATATATATATATATATCGTCAAATAAATATATATATATATATATATATATATATCTATATTCTATTTGACGATATATATATACATATATATATATACAGGGTCACCAGTCCGTACGTACGGAGGTCCCCGGGCAGACCTCCAAACGTACGGGCATTCGGGGTCCCGTACGGGGTCCGAACCCGATGCCGTTCGGCCCCCGCCAAAAATTATTTCGGGGCTTAAAAATAATTATTTTTTTCTGAATGTTTTTTGTGAGTTCTCTATGACTTGAGGTACATGCCTGTCAATTTTCAAGTCATTTGGCTAAGCCAAATAAGAATTAGAATCGCCGAAGATGGCGGTGTCAAAACGTGCTCGCCCATGTACTTTTTCACTTTTTACTTTTTGTTTTCACTTTAGTTCGGGGTCTAAACAATTTTATTATTTTTTAAAACTTTTTTAGTGGGATTTGTATTATTTGAAGTACACATCTGTAAATTTTCAGGTTATTTAGTGATTCCAAAAAAAAAAAAAAAAATCGCCAAAGATGG